TAGGGGTGTAGGGGTGTAGGGGTGTAGGCACTCTGGCATAGTAGTAGTAAATATATGACTTTTGAGATTTGCGATTTGCGATTAAGTCATCTGGTTTAGCAGTAGATTCGGGATGCCGTACATATTTTATATTTCTCACTATACAGTAAAACACCGCATCATCATAAATCCCGTTCCAACTTCCAACTTTCCCATACAGTATTTCCAAACGTCCAGGAGGCCGCATCCTCAAAAGCCATCCATCCATCCAGTGATCCTCTCAAATTCTCAAGTTCTCAATCCCTACTTTCTTAATCTTCAGACTGCCACCCACTCTCATCTCCCGGTCACCCATCTACCTACCCACCCACCACCTACTTACCTACCTCCATCCACTGTGCATTCCTAACCTATTCTCCAGACTTCAGACTTCAGTGTACACATACAGACTGAAAATCGTAGCTAGAAAAGTACAGTAGTCCAAATAAAGCCCAGACATATTAGAGTAATTCACTCCCCGTCAAGATATCCATGCTCTCATATCACTCTGCCACTCAACTTCTTAAGCTCTACATCCCATCCCCATCACCATCCACTTTACCTACTTATCTCCTGATATAACAACTCAATCCACCAAATAATCTTCCCATAACCAGCCCCCAACCTCTCAACCTCTCAAACTACTACTCACTACTCCCCTCCTCACTACTCCACCCTGCGCACTCCCTTCTTTCTTCCTTCCTTCCTTCTTCCTTCCCTTCTTCTTTCCTTCTTTCGTAGCGCTAAAAACCGACTCGAGCTCCCATCGGTGCATCATGTACGGTACGATCAGTGGATGGTTCTTTGACGAACTTTAATCACTCACTACCCAGATGAGAGATGGGAGACACAGAAATAGCCTTTCCTAAAAGGGTATCACGAACAAACATACCAACGAACGAATCGAATCCAGCGCAGGTCCTCTCTTCAACTATTTACTTACAGTATACAATCCTTTGCGAGAACCCGGAAACGTTGCAGTTGTATTTTATACGACCACGAAACCAGTACAGTAGCGATCATCTCGCACGAACGCAACCCCGTACGGTATATAGGGAGGGACTAGGGCAAACCATCAAGACGCGATGCGATGGTCAACCGCTCCCATGATCCCATCCCTCTCTTCAATTTCAATTGCACACCATGCGCTAGATCAATGCTGATCCATGAAGGGCAGAAGGGAATTATCCAAGAACCCGACAATTCCACAAGACCTTCAGACAACCTTAACCTACCATCCAGAAAAGGCACAACACAATCATAGAAAACAGAAGAGCTTAGCTTCTCCATCCCACCCAGGCTAAAACCATGTAATTCTCGAAGCATCTATCCTAATAGAATTTTTGTCGCAACCTCCCAAGGAATTTCCAGCAACCTCTAGATCCGGGACACACCACCAACTCCAGTCTCCTTCCCACCAAAATTCTACACTATCAAATAAGCCAAGCCAAGTCAAGCCAAGGTCGCTCTACTCTGCGCTGTCATCCTCATTCCACATCTGGTTCTTCTCACGGATTTCCCACATCAGATCAGCCCTCTTTCCTCTACCCAAATTCATCCATCCAAATCCCAAGAAAACACACACACACACATACCAAAAAAAAGAACAATTATGCCGCCCAAAAACAACAAAATTTCAGCAAATTAAACCATAGAACTTCGCCCCGCAAGAAAGAAGAAAACAAATAGACAAAGATGAATCATAAGATCGTACAACCCCCCTTCTCCCCCTCCCTCATGACCCGTTTTCGTCGTCCGGTTTTTCGGTACTGACCATTGTGTTTTCGGACTTCCCTCTGGACCAGCGCCTGGTCTTCCAAGGAGGGGAACGTCGCGTTGTCTTTACGGATGATTTGTCGACAGAGATCGATGAATACTTCATCGACGTTTGCTTGGGTCCATGTCAATACCTCCCTCTTATGTAGAAATGAATTTAAGGGAAAGGGAGAATTAGGAGATTAGAAGGAATAAAAGAACATACCCCTCCTCCTAGCACTCGTCTCGTAATACGGCGCATTCCCCCAACTCTGACTCACACTAAAAGCCTTTGATCGACTGACCACCCTGTCATCTTCTAAATCCGATTTGTTCCCCACAATCACAATGGGTACATTTTCATCGTCTTTTATACGAATAATTTGTTCCCGTAGTTCGGCTAGTTCGTATAAACTGCTCTGACTGGTGATGGAAAATACGAGGAGGAAGCCTTGGCCGGTTTTCATGTACAATTCTCTAGAAGAAATGTTAACTTGGGGGATGATGGGGGTTGAAAGGGATAAAGACTACCTCATCGCAGCTATTAACAATTAGTGTGTGTCACGTGACCGAGAGGGGGTAAGGACTTACTAAATTGTTCCGTTCCTGCGGTATCCAGACTAGAAAAAGAGTGAGTGGTGGGTCTGATTGTAACATTCCGGTCGGAAAAATGAGTAAAGAAAAAAAGAAGAGTAGTTCCCTACATCTCAAGCATGCATTGGCGGCCCTATGACACGTCAGTCCGGTGGCCAAAAAGAGGGACGATCACTTTGAAATCGGAAATGGTGATACTTACATCGACATCAATCTGTTTCCGATAGGAATCTTCAATTGTCGGGTCGTAACTCTCAATCCAGACATTTTGGACGAATTGTGCTATGAGAAGTTGTTAGTTGGGGGCCATTCAGGGGTAAGTGTAGATGACAGGATTTGGGGCCTTACCAGTGAGGCAGCTCTTGCCAACACCACCTGTAGAGTAAAAATGTGTCAGCCAGGCTGCGCAGTGCCTGCCCAGAGGAGGCCAAAAAAAGCCACCAGGCAAAAGTCCGAAAAAAGAAAGATGGAAAGGGGGCAAAAAAGTCACGCACCAGCCCCGAGAACGACAATGTTAAAATCTCTCCTGTGAATCATCATCCCATGATTAGCAAAGTTTGAGGCTTCCAATTGCCATGAGAAGAGATGAAGAGAGATCCGAGATCAGATGATAGGAGGGCTACGACTTACCTTTGCGAGGAGGTCCTCGAATTTGGCATTTCCGCGATTCACAAAAAAGGTTGTAGGAGGAGAGGCGTTGATCGTTGAAACTTGACAGTCTTGAAATGTGAAAACCTTCGATTCTCTTGCGGCTTGATCTCCAGGTCCCTTCTCCTATATTCTGGGCTGGGCTGGGCTGGGCCGTACTGCGTGCGTTACAGTACGAGATGCGATGCGGCGGCGAGCCTCAAACCAACGACCCCTCTCACTCAATGTGCCTCCAAGTCACAGATCCTGATCCAGAAGTGTCCAAATCCCGAAGCGGCCGTCAAAGGTGCCTTTGCCTGTGCCTTTGCTTGGGCTTGTGCTTGTCTTGCTGGGTGTACTGTAGGTGCTCTTCCTTTAGGATTCTGGGCCTCTTGATTCGGTGCTGGGGGGTAACATGTATGGTAGAGAAGTTTAATACACGTCCTCGGGCTCAGCCATGGGATCAGAGCAATCAATCTAGGTTTGTCGGTTCGGCAAAGACAGGCTAGAGACGAGCCGGCAGCTAGCACGCGAACTGGATGGTCCTCGGAGGAGAGAAATCAAAAATAAATTCCACTTGAAGCGTAGCGGCGGCGTGTGCAGTAAGGCGAGGCGAGGCGAGGCAAGCAGGAACGCGAAGGTACGAAGGTAGGTACGGAGTAGGTAGATGGTAGCAGCAGCGCGCACGCTCTTTTCCCCCCCAAAACGCACAGTCAACGCAATGCAATGCACGCTCGAGTCGCTCCACGAGCCCTTCCACTTTGCCCTTTGGCGTCGTCCGCCCTCGTTTTTTTGCACGGTGCAGCACGCAGAAGAGCAGCAGCACAGCAGCCGTCTCCGCTTCACAATGGTGGAATTGTGGAGGGGGATGGTGGAGACTGGAGTCAGCTTGGGTTCTTGGTTCTTGATTTTTTGGCTCGGATTTCCATCCGTCCCCGTCGCGTTATTGCTGCTGTTGGGGTTGGCCCTGCACCTTGGACTGGTCACTGGTATCGAGGAGGCGAGTTTTGGAAAGAGAGTTGGCCTTGCGTCGGGCCAGAGCCGACGTTTGAGTGAGAATGAGAATGGGAATGGGAATGGGAGATGGAGATGGAGATGGAGATTAGAATCTGGGGCTATGAATCGCTATTCATGGATCCGGATTCGGAGTGTGGTGTTGATGACCCTTGACACTGTCTGTCTTTCCCAATAATTGTCGATCATAGACGTGGTGGCATGGGATTACTGCCCGAGTGGAGTTTGTCTGGTTCCGACAGCGTGGGTAAATCAATGTAAATCAATGTAAATCAATGCTTTTGGTAAATAAACATCATTGGAATGGGATAATAATAATGGAATCCTGGGCTGAGGATGGGGAAAAAGATATAAAAAGGATATTTCTCCTGCGACCATAGGTACTGGCTGTTGGTTGGTCGTATGCTAAAAAAATATCTGCAGCAAACCCCCTTGAGCATGGCATCCAGACCATCTGGTTCGTCAGAAATTCCATGTGTGATGTACCTGCGTTTACATATCCCGTCTCCCTTCTTAGCACGTTGCAGTAGTCAATTCGCACCTCGCAGCAGCAGTCTACATAGGCCATTTCCATAGGTAGTGTGCCAATTTCCATAGGTAGTGTGCACTCGGTCTCCGATGTTCAAGCCCAATAATGAAGTTCCCTATCCTGATTCCTTCGTGACCAGTGCGAGATGTTCTTGATTCATGAACACCAATATTCTCCGTTTAGCCACGGAATCTTTCACATGTATGATGCCACCTTTCTAAGGATATCATGTCCATCCAACAGGAAAGCGAAAGCCGACCTATCAACAGAGGAAGATGACATCTACTCCCACTCCCCTTCTCTCAATCCTCGACTCGGACGTGTGAAGTCATCCAACTCGACGCCACACAGAGTCAAACACCCCTACCTCCACCCAACGGCGCGAACCACAAAAGCCACACCGCGTCAGACATCCAACCATCCAGCATGGTGGGTTTCTTTTCCCGGAAAATCAAGAGAAAATGGCAGCAACGAACGAGACTACCAGTAGTCGACTGTCCACCCCCCGAGATCCACGCGCAACCAATGAACCACCAGAAGTCATGAAATACCAACACGCTGTTTCCCCCTACCGTAGCATTAGTCGGATTAGTGCGAAGAAAAGCAGACGCTACAGGCTACACCGGGATAACTTCTGCCTTCTTCCGGACGACCAGTCAGATTGTCTAAAGTTGGTCGAAGGCATGTTTTGCACGTGTCAGTAACGTGATTTCTGCCATCCCTCGTGCTTGGCCCGTCCGGCAGTCGCGGACTGAACCCCCCACGTTTACCATCGCTACTGCCATTCAGAGCGAAATGGAACAGAAATCCTCTTCTTGGGTTTTTATGAAAGTATCATCCGTACAAAAATGGGATTATGCTATCTAAGCTTTTCCCTTAGCTTTTCTACATCCTCTCCCTCTCCCCACTCCCCGTGCCCTCCCTCCCCTCCAACTCGTCCTCTAAAAATCACTTGAAACGAAACGAAACCCCTCGTTCCGAAGTCGAACAACAAATCCTGTACACCGCGACCCTGCATCCCATTCTACGGTGTGTAGTATCGGGTAGGTTATCGGTACCGGTACGGTGAAGCTCCCTCCCACCACAGACAAGCCCACCGACACAGACAAAAACCAAGGCTACGCGACCCTGGTCTGCCGATGTGGTGCGTCTGTGGTTTCCGGCCCACATCTCTTATCCCAATCTACGGAAGACTTTCCGCGGATCCCGAGAAGAGGGTTCCGGGGGTTATGTGATGGATGAAGAGGGTTGGAGCCGAAGAGCTTTGGCTTTTTGGGGGGCATTGGGTTGGGATGGCATGGCACCATGGCATGGGAGCGAGGAGGTGATGAACGTGTTGTGTTGTGCTCGAGAGGAGCCGGGACTCGGGGAGGGTTTTCTGTCATATTTTCCCATATACACCTCCGTACGTACATATGGAGGGAGGGGAGGCGAGGGGGGGCAGACTGCGTGGAGGGAGGGGTGAGTGATGTTTCGAGTTTACGCAATTCAACATCTACCGTACGGCAGATGGTAAGAATCCTCTCTTTTCCAAAACCGAGCAAAGCAACCAGAGGAAGAATTCTTACTCCCTGATTCACACAGATTTATGTATATCTTTATATTCCCTGGGCTTTCTCAGACTCTCCGACCGCTTTGCGGGGAGCACCATTGGGATTTCTCTTATCAGCAAGCACGGGGAGCTGCTTAATCATGTATCAAAGTATAAAAACTGGAGTGCTTTATCCGTGGGTTTTTGGGTCTTTTCGGCCGAACTCGGGCTCGGCGATGGCTTCGTACGGTTGGGCGGTTTGGGGGCTTCAACGCAATGCCTTCGTTTATGAGGGAGTGGTGAGTGAGTGAGGCTGAAGACTCGAAAGTGAGGCGTTATCGGACTTTCAAGGCTATGAAATTATTTTCATTGATGACTGCTGGTGGGCTTTTGGGGGTTGTTGATGATTGGAATGGGACAATACTTGTCATAAAAGTACATCGCACTTCGTGGACGCGCTTGAACATGAATGCTTCAAGACGAGAAGACTTCAAATCAGCCTTAAGATCTTACTTTGCCTTACCTCGCAAATCCGCGTTGCATACGCAAAACAAAGGTTCGACATATGAAAGTCAGCACACACGGTATTCGAAGACGGAGAGATAAATCCTCTCTCTACAGTAATCTTACCTTTATCTGTTTCCTACACCGAGTCAAGCAAGGAGGTCGGGTCATCTTATATAGGAATATACCCCATTCCAGGATGCTCGCTAAATTCTAAAATGGTTCACTTATGTTCTATCACAACCTGCCTTCACGGAAAAAAGAATGCTGTCGATCGGTGATGGTTTAAATTTTAGAGGTACAGGACATCGGCAGACTTTCTCTATACTATACTACAACACCTTCAGACCTGGTGATCATGAAGGAGATATATGGTAAATACTAAATTTCTGTCTGATGACTTCCATTGGACTCTTCTCTTTTTTTTCAACGCCTGGAATGATTGTATCATTACCGGTTACGTTTAACGAACGTCTTTACTTGACTTCAATTTTAAATTTTGCACTCGTTGTGAGGAGATAGGTACTGTAGATATCACGCACGGTATGACAGCGCATGTTAACATGCTAAGATCCACCAAGTGCTACGTAGTGAAATTCCGATCTTCTCCTATCTATCCTCTAATCAAGATCAATATACATGTTCCTGACACCCTGAGGGAAGAACCCAGAATCCCGTTGTTGTCCTAACACGACGTAAGAAGTTCGTACAGTATCATCAACAACCCATAGCGAGAATCTATACAGAACACCCCCCTCCCTCCCTACCTACCTATCTCAACAAACAAACAACAAACACCAACCCTCCAGCTACAAAAATAAAGACTTTCCTCCATAGACGCGCTGACATTGAGTACGCCATAAGAAAGAATAACGAATACGCCGACCAGCTTTAATTTGGCATATCCACTTCCACTTCCAATTCCAGTTCCCAGTTCAACGAAATCCACCTCACCATCATAAGAGTTTATAATTAAATCTCGCCGTCTTCTAATTTAACCTACCTAGTGCAGCTTGTTAGGAACTAAAGACGTCGTATATATTTTCTTACTCGTACCTCTGTTTTGTGGCTTTTTTTTTGGGGGGG